TTTAGATCTTCACTAGTTGATATATTTTCTAATTCTGGATTTATATCTTCAGTAGTTGATAAAATTTCTAATTCTGTGTTGGTTGATAAAGTTTCTAATTCTGGTTTTATATCTTCACAAGTTGATAAAGTTTCTAATTCTGGTTTTATAATTTCAGATCTTGTACATACTGCTGATACAGCAGGTTCCATATCTTTAAAAATTAAAAATCCTGTTGTTTTATCTTGAGAAGTTAGAAATGTCATATGGTGTTTTACATCATCAAAAGAGGAAAATGTTGTACATTCTGACTTTGTGTCTGTAGAAGATGAAAAATCTGGCGTAACAACGGTTTTATCATCCTGTGAATTTATAAATGTCAGGTTTGGTTTGATATCACGGAAAGTTAAAAATGATAATTCTGTTTTTATGTCAGAAGAAGATGAAAATACTGTAGATAGAAGTGGCTTCACATCTTCAGAAATTGAAAATTCTTTAAACTCATCAGACTGTAAATCTAAATCAGCAGTTGCCTCTCCCATGCTGCTTCTTATAAATAAACTGAGGATTAGATATTTAAATGTTAAAGTGGTGATTATATATATATATATATATATATATATATATATATATATATATATATATATATATATATATCCAATATATAATACAACATAATTAGTTTAAAATGTTAGTACAATCTCTAGACCTACCCCATGCATGTAAACCACAATACAAACAACTCTATAGTGGCAGTGGTCACTTTTTCTACTGTTGGTAATATAGAAATGTGTAGAAATATCTAAGAATTTTTTTTTAGTAGGCCTGAACTATAACAAGTGGTAGGCCTACAACACAAATGTACACTGTCGTATGCCTGCTTTTACAACATACCCAGGTATATGGCTAATTTCCACATCAAAATCTAAAACCTTATGTTGCACCATTTCACCACCAATGTCCCCCACCTTGATATGCGCGATGACGTAAAAAAAATATTGTGGAAATTCGTAAGTACACATCGCAGGATTACAGAAACGTTATTTTTTACTAAGAAATCACTTCAGAAGTGGGGTTGGTGTGGTCAAGTCGGTATAGCTCATGGTTGCTAAACCGATATGTCTCAAGTTTGAACACTCGGGCAGATGAGGCTCGTTAGCAGAGGGCAGCCACTCTTCTAGGAGAAACAACTCCAAAATCAAACAACTTCTGCCTTGTAGTTTGTTCTTGGGTGGACAAAAGCTATGGAAGCAAATCCAAAAAGAAAAGCACGAAGAAATCAGAGTCAATGGCTTCAATGGCACATAACCAGGTGACACATATATTTCATTATGAAGAAGATTTCAGAAGTAACTATGCTAATACTGATGTCAAAAATCTAGCGCCCCACCTCCCCCTAAAGCAAATAGCTGATTTTTTTTTACAAGTGGTGGGAGGAGAAAATAGGATGAGTGCAGTGACAGCAGCAATTTTCACAAACACTGCATTTCAAGGTTTTTTTAAAATTTCAAGGACCTTTACAACTGTTAAAAAACAACTATAGATAGATCGTGTAAAAAAAAAAAATTATAGCAGGCCTACATATTTTGTTTGAACACCCAAAACCAGACACGTTTTTTGAAAATTTTGCTTAATAGTAAAGTGACTTTCTTAGAATTTGGTTTTTAAAAAATGATTATCACGTGAAAAATGGCAGAGATTTTAAGCGTATTTTTATGCTACCTGAAGATGACAAAGCTATTTTTGCCAGAAAAAAATTTAATTAGCTTCCAACAATGAAGGTCAAACATAAACATGGGTAAAGTTTTAAGTTGCTTAAAAACTTAAAATATCGATCTGTAAAGTTCCAAACTTGCACTGTTAGGTAGGGTATTATTAGATTGATCTGTTTCTGAATTAAAATTGTAAATATTCTATACTCATTTTGAGAAAAAAAAAATCACCCACATGTCACGTAAACAATATTTTTTTTGTGAGTGACGTCATTGCTATTGATATGTCAAGTAAACAATATTTTTTTTGTGAGTGACGTCATTGCTATTGATACGTCATGTAAACAATATTTTTTTTGTGAGTGACGTCATTGCTATTGATACGGAAGCTGTATAGTAGTATCCTCTGTCACTGCTTACATAAGTTTTCTTTTTACTTGACACTTTTTTTTACCTATTTTGCTAGCGTAATTAGGCTAATTAAGTCTCATTATGGATCTTTCACCTGGCTTTTGGATTATACTATGACTCTAAAAGCCCCTAAACCACAACGATCGATTATTTAGTTTTTTAATCAGTGTTAATCCCTGAAATTATTGCGCGTTGGCCTTTGTGTGCTTATTTATGAATATTTATGCCTAATTATTTGTTGTTTTCAAATGTGTTATAATTAATTTTTGTTAATTCTTATTGATTTCATAGATTTTAATTAATCTAATATAATATTATTCTCACTGTTCTTTGTTGGTATACTTTTATTAGGCTAAATAATGTTCATATTATTAAGATTTAAGAGGTCTGAAAAATTAAATGATTTTAGTGTTGGGTCTAGGCTTGCATTACTAATTAGTACTTAGTAATTAGAATTATTAATTAGAACTTGGGCTAACAAAGTACTTGGACTAGATTTAGAACACGCTCATACTGTGCTGTGAGTTTTCTCTCACCGGTTTACAAAAGAACACAGGTGGGCTGCAATGTTTGTAATTTGCCTATATCTTTCGGTCACAGGCGATCATTTTAATGTGATAGGCCTCTTAATTTTATAGGCCTGATGAATTGTATTTGATAGGTTAACTTTTCTGGTTGACAAAACTACTTGAGTGAGCATCTGTCTGTCACTACGCAAGCGAGATGCCTGTCATGCGCACTGCCAGTGATGCTGTTTAGAATGCATTTCTCATTAACTTGATCAATTTTAATGCGATTACTGTTTTAAAAAAATAGATACAAATGTTAACAATATTTTAAACTCAGCATGGACAAAGCTTTGTGAATAACACACAGGTTTCAAGTCCAGTAAGGGAGGAGGGTTAGATTTATTTTACAATGACATAGCTATCATTTATAAATTGCCCTGATTAAACATTGCTAAAACACACTAATTAAGCCTAATCAAAACTGAAATAAACATGCATATGAATATCTTTTAAAAGTTTAGATCTAGATATATATTATATATTCTTAAACCTTTTAAACGTGATTATTTTTGGATTATTCATTAGCCTATATTAAAAAAATAGTAAATATGTTACATGACATAACCAAGTTACGAGCATCCTTTCAATTATGTTTTATTGACACATACCGACACTCCACCCTCACTTGATCCTTACTAACATCCAAGGTCCCTCTCCTGTCAATTTTGTGGACCAGATCTAAGAATGATTGTCACTGAAAAAGCTGTCCCAGCTAAGCTAAAAAGCACCAATAATTAAAATCCTGTATTTTAGCAGCAAATTTACAAATTAGCTAAAACCATCAAAATCAAATGTAGTTAGTAGTTAGAGATAGGCCTATATCTCTAGTTTTCATGGGTATTGTTTATAAATAAAATAATAATAAGGTAGGCCTACAATTTAATGAATAGGCGTAGCCTAATATTTATTAAATATTAATGATGAGTCACCTTTCTTGCACATTAACTATTACACTTTTATTACACTAGCCTCTGCTGATTTTAGATACGGTGACATACCTAAACCTAAAACTAGGCTAAAACGATAGATTAGCAGTAATCTATCGTTTTGGGTACCTAAAATCGCCAGTGACTTGTAATGTGAAAATCAGGTGACACCTTAAATTAAAAATTTTGGTAATCTATCGTTTTAGGTACGTAAAATCGGCCGCAACTAGTAATGTGAAAAACAGGTGACTCCTTACATTTTAATAATTATTTCACATTTTGATGAGGATTTATGTTTTGAAAAATACAAAAATGTTTCCTTGTTTCATTTATGTACCTGTTTTTAAACAATTGAATTAAAACTTTTCAGTAATAAATGAACACCAGCGATGTTTCCAACAGATGCAACCACGCTCATTTACTATAGCAGCCATCTTGTTTAAGTTTTATTTTTATAGACATATAGCGCGAGATTCAGGCGGAAGTCACTCTATTTTACAAATGGCTGCTGTTTATATAGCAAATCTTGCTTGCAGACACAGCTGTTTAAAGTTAATTTCTGGCCTATATTGATATATTTAGCCATTGATTTAGGTTTATTATTCATTTATCTATAATATTTGACACAAACATATCACAATATACTTCTATTACAGCCTTGACAATGAGGTAACGTTTTCGTACATTAATAGCCGCGGGCGATTTTATCATTTTACGTACCCAAAACGATAGATTACCAAAATTTTAATATAGCCTAATAATTATTTCACATGTTGATGTGGATTTATTTATGTTTTAAAAAATTCAAAAATGTTTCCTTGTTTCATTTATGTACCTGTTTTTAAACAATAATAATTGAATTAAAACTTTTCAGTAACAACTCAAGCGATGTTTCCAACAGATGCAACCATGCTCATTTACTATAGCAGCCATCTTGTTTAAGTTTTATTTTTATAAACTTACAGCGCTAGATTCAGGGAGACCACTCTATTTTACAAATGGCTGCTGTTTATATAACAAATCTTGCTCGCAGACACTGCTATTTAAAGTTAATTTCTGTCCTAGAATCTATATATTAATTATTAATATAATAATATTAGCGATAGGCCTACTCACTAATTTTAAATTTATTTATTTTATTAATTGGCCACTCCCAGCATTGCAAGCCAAAGAATCCATGACAACCATATGCCTATCTGAAGAGAAGAACTCTGCAGGGTTGACCTTGCAGCTGATTTGATTTTAGCAGAATATGCACAGTACATTTGATTTTATTAAAATAGCAATATTAACAGAGAGTGATATTTCAACGCCAAGAGTCTACTCTTGGCGTTGAAATATCACTCTCTGTTAATATTGCTATTTCAGTTACAACGCCTGCTTCCACCCCCCCCCTACACATTTGATTTTATTACCACATTTCTATTCGTATGGACAGTGTCTTCGTCAGAATAAAAATCACAAGATGGAATTAGATCTAGATCTATATTTTTTTTTAATATTTGATTTCCTTTTTTTTAATGGAAGGATGTTTAAAAAGGAAAACTAAACCCAAATTAATGAAAAAAATATTTAAGAATATAATAGTATAGATCTAATCTTTTTAAAGATATTCAATCACATGCATGTTTTATTTACTAGTAGTACTAGTAGAGTAGTGTGTTTTAGCAATGCTTAATGGACACAAGCGAGTTGACGAGATTCCTTCCATAGTGTTGTTGACATGGAATAAAAACGTGCTTTTTAGATTTAGACCGTAAAAAAAAACAAAAAAACTTAAGCCTAAAATTAATTTAGAAATTTTATATTTTTAGAATAAATGCTATAAAAGTTGCAAATCCAGAGAACTTGAAAATAATTTGTTGAGTTTAAGGCTACGTTTCTATTTATTTTAATCAAGCCTAAGTTATAACCGGATGTTTCACTTTCGTAAGACAAATATTGATTGGCTGTACAGTAACTTAGTGATCGATAACTATTTGTTTATAAAACTTTGCAGATCAAGTTTTTAAATAACAATGCAAATTTAAAACCCCATGACCTAGTTTTCTATTTTTAGCTTACAATGTGTACAATAAAATTTATGGCGGCCTATCCAATAGCAGGATGCCACTGTTTATGTCGCCATTACACGTGAAAACCAAATTGTTTTTGCTTTTTTTTTTTAAATTTTTATTTAGTTACCGAAAATATTAAAAACATCAAATACATCCAATCTTTAGTAAAGTCCGAAAAAAACCAGACAGACAGGATTTTATAACCATATTAATTGTAACTACGCCGTGAAAGATTTTTAAATTAATTTATAGACCTCTCGAATACCTTTGAGACTTTTCTCGCTGGTGTCCATTAGGGCAATACATAAAATATAGCGCGATGTCATTGTAAAATGAATCTAACCCTCCTCTTTCACTTGACTTGGGATAGGTGTGTTATTTACAAAGTTTTGTCGTTGCTCAGTTGAAAATATTGTTAAGATTTGTAAGTATTTGATTTATTTTTAAAAAAATCTGCAATAGCATTAAAATTGATAAAGTTAGCGAGAAATGCATTCTAAACAGCGTCACGGGCAGTGCGCGTGGCGGACATCTCGCTCGCGTAGGTGGGTTAAGCTAAATAACTTTTCTTGTTCAAACTTTAACAGTGGCCGCTGCATTACAGGCTAATTATGTTTTAAAACCTGGGAATGTTAAGTATTTGGCTGAATTTCAGAAATGATTTTGGACCAATTAAAATGTGACGGTAGCCTGTCGCTTGACCTACTTTTTTACCGTCGTCATGGTAATGATGGCTGCCGAATACGACAATACCGTGATTCCGTTTTTAACAATGTTTCAAGGTCATTTCAGAAATATATACTTAAAATCGTTTTTTGTGCATATTATTCAACGAGCCCGGTCTAGTTTTAAAAATGGACGATTAGTATTTGATGCGAATTTGCCATGTGTACATGTTTTTGGTCTAATCGCTGAGAATATCGAGCAGAACATAATAAAAGTAAGCAAAACGTGAATTGCTTTGTTTAATATTGTTCTAAACATACTGAAAATATATTCTAAACTATAGAAAAATATAACTTGCGTTCTACTAGACTAATGTCATTAATGTTTTGAAAATCATGCAGGGTAAAAATAAAACCTGTAAAAAATAACTTGATCGAGACAACAGCTAAGCCCGCCCATTTTGCCCGCAGTGTATTTGAATGGGGAGAAAACTAACAGATGACACATTTCTACTTTGAACAGGAGTTAACGGTCAATCGCGACACAACATCACTCCTTAAAAAACGAACCCACCGTATCACTGAAAATCAGTCATATCATCGTCGCCATTTAAAAATCATTTTACAAATCATTTTCTAGGCTACCGATTTAATAGATAAAATTGGTATCAAACTAAAGGTAAATAAATGTAGTTTTTAACACGTTTTTCTTAACTCAGCTTCGCGTTTGTGGGTTTGTTGTTAAAATTGACCACGAAAATTAGCCCACTTCTGATTGCTCTAGACATCTGAAATTCGGCATGCAGGCTATTTTCGCCTAACAATTTCAGATGCAATCATAAAAACTAGCTATTAGAGACCTAAATTAGCTTCATTAAATTACGCCCCAAGAACCCTAAAATTGAGGACATGATTTCTCAAAAACGCATGTAACTTTATAAAGAACTAATAATATCCCGCACTTTTATACACATTTTATTAGGCGTTCACTTGGTGTGGGACGGAGTGGTCTAGCGGTAAGGAGCTGGACTGCTAACCCGTTAGTCTCGGTTTATAAAATGGGAAATAACTCTAGTTGACTTTTTTCTTTGACCAGATTGTCCACAGAGATCTGGCAGCTCGCAATGTGTTTGTCACAGACAGGGGCGTGTGCAAGATCACAGACTTCGGGCTGGCTTGATGCCTGGGGGACACTGACCACTACGACAGGTCGTCCAAGGTTCGTGAGTTGGTTAAATTATGGTTAAATCGTCAAAGGTTCGTGAATTGCATTGGTTAAATTATGGTTAAATCGTCAAAGGTTCGCGAACTGCATTGGTTAAATTATGGTTAAATCGTCGAAGGTTCGTGAACTGCGTTGGTTAAATTATGGTCAAATCGTCGAAGGTTCTTGAATTGCATTGGTTAAATTATGGTTAAATCGTCAAAGGTTTGTGAACTGCTTTAGTTAAATTATGGTTGCATCATCAAAGATTCGTAAAATGCATTGGTTAAATTATGGTTAAATAGTCAAAGGTTCGTGAATTGCGTTGGTTAAATTGTGGATAAATCGTCGAAGGTTCGTAGACTTCATTGGTTAAATTATGGTCAAATCGTCGAAGGTTCGTGAACTGGTTGGTTAAATTATGTTTAAATCGTCAAAGGTTCGTAAACTGCATTGGCTTAATTATGGTTAAATAGTCAAAGGTTCGTGAATTGCATTGGCTTAATTATGGTTAAATAGTCAAAGGTTCGTGAATTGCGTTGGTTAAATTGTGGTTAAATCGTCGAAGGTTCGTGAACTGCAATGGTTTAAGGTAAATTATGTTTCCAGGTTCGTAAACTGCATTGGCTTAATTATGGTTAAATCGTCAAAGGTTTGTGAACTGCTTTAGTTAAATTATGGTTGCATCATCAAAGATTCGTAAAATGCATTGGTTAAATTATGGTTAAATAGTCAAAGGTTCGTGAATTGCGTTGGTTAAATTGTGGATAAATCGTCAAAGGTTCGTAAACTGCATTGGTTAAATTATGGTCAAATCGTCGAAGGTTCGTGAACTGGTTGGTTAAATTATGGTTAAATCGTCAAAGGTTCGTAAACTGCATTGGCTTAATTATGGTTAAATCGTCGAAGGTTCGTGAATTGCGTTGGTTAAATTGTGGTTAAATCGTCGAAGGTTCGTGAACTGCAATGGTTTAAGGTAAATTATGTTTCCAGTTATTCGTCGAAGGTTCGTTAACTTCATTAGTTTAATTATGGTTTAATCGTCGGTTTTTTAACTTGTTTTACTTAAAGTCCGGGAAGAAACTCCAACATTGGTCCAATTCAGTTGCCACACAATTTGGCCAGAAAATAATTGTTTTATCCGTAAAAAAAAACATAAGCATATGTCAATTTGTTGGCTTTAGCATTTGGTTAAAATATTTAAACTAAATATTATGTTTCAATGCATCCTATTGTGAGTTGGTGTGGGACGACGTGGTCGAATGGTAGAGCGTTGGAGGCCAGCCACAAAGTCTCGAGTTCGGTCCTGGTTTTGATTAATCCACCAAGCTCTGATGGGTACCAGACAATACGTTGGGCATAGTGCCGACCACGCCATCCCTTCATATGCCGAAGTCAAGAAACATGAACCCTAGTTCATCTACACAATGGATCGCTACGTCTAAAGAAAGTATTTTTTACTTTCTATATTGCTAGTTGATGGCAAATCCCAATGTTGGTTAACCTTGCTATGGCTTACATTATTATGACATTGATTCCGTTGTAGAATCTTCAAAATGTGTTTTATTCGTTTCAAGCATTAAGTTTCGTACTTCATTTTAGATTCGAACCCGTTAACGTTAAAGCGGCGTAGGTGAAGTAGATTATAACAGAAGTGGTAGGTGAATGATAAATCTAGTTTAAAACAAGTGTTTTTCTAAACTTGACAGGGCCCACTGCCGGTTAGATGGTTGGCACCAGAAAGTTTGATCGACAGAACACACAGCACCAAATCTGATGTCTGGGCCTACGGCATTCTTCTGTGGGAGATTGTTACGCTAGGTGAGTTCATAGGTTTACATTTGTAGGGGGGGGGGGGGGGTTGGGGGGTGTATGTAATGAAGGGGGTGAATGTTGTTGTTACTTGGTACCCTATCCCGTTCGTCCTTGTTCAGTTCTCGTGCTGTGAGTTGTAATATTCCGGTTTGTACCAGTTTATGAAAAGGTATGTAAGGTGTATGAAAACGTGTGTGATGGCCTCAGTTTTGTCCAGATCTCCAAGGTTAGTACAGGTTAGGATTATACTAGTTTTTAGCCACTGTATCTTAGTTTACTAGCTTGTGTATTTTCTCTTTAAACTAGACTGTGTTAGGTGTAGATAGTGTATATAAATTCTTTTAGTTTCAACGAGCCTTTGTTTCAGTCTTGTTTTGTAACCCGTTTGTGGTTGTTTGTCTTATGTGTTGTGCTACCCATCGGATCTCCCGAATGGCATGTCCGTGTGTTCACAACAGTGTACTTTACGGTGTTGGAGGGGGGGGGGGACTATCTTTGGGTGAGTCTATTGTTTTACTTTAGTTTGGTAGGACGGGGCTACTGTATGGGTTTGGAGGGGGGGTGTAGATTGTAAATCTCGGCAAATTCATTAAGCAGGCGCATGTAACCTTCACCTTGAATGTCTTGCGACCAACAGTCTGATTGCAAACGATACACTTTTGTGTTGATAGAGGGGGTCGGAGCGAACTTTCTAGATAGCAAACAAATACACCAAAATAGCATTAGCTTCCTACGACATTGTGTCATGAAGAATGTCGTTTCCTGGCAGGCAGAATCTTTGACAGAAGGATTAACGTTATCGTAACTCTTTTCAACACAGGGGGTTGAAGAGTTGGCATGTTTAGAAGGGCTTCACAAAATGTGTACATTAATACTATTATATTAATACACGGGATACCGTGATCGGTCTGAATAGATCAGCCTTCAAGATAAAATAAACAGTACCTGTGATGTAAAAGATACTGGGTGAACCTGGCAATAGGGCTGGTAAGTAGGTCACCAACCAGTTAAATGGCTCATGCAGGTTTTAATGAGCCGTAGAACTGGTTGGTGACCTACTTACCAGCCCAATTTTGTTGCAAATGTCCAGCCTATATTTTATTTTCTTGTACCACACCCACCCCACGCACCCCAGCCCAAGTTGACAAAATAGCGATCTAAAGAGTTTGATTGATTGATTTCAGGTGCCAGTCCTTACCCCGGGTTGTCTGCCCAGGATGTCTTCAAGTTTGTTAGCGCTGGCAAGAAAATGGAGAAACCTCAGCACTGCAGTTCTGTCATGTAGATAACTTTAATCCTAACCACACAATCGACAACACACACATCCACTTTGACAACTAAAAACCCACTCAGCTAGAGAAATTTTGACAATTCCACATCAATTACGACAGCAACAAAAAAGTTCCACACAATCACACACAAAAAATCCCACACAACCCCCACATAACTCACCTCAATGTATAATCCCACCCACTCACAACCACACACAACACACTCCAACAATCCTGCACAAAATCCCACCCCCATACAAACCCGCACAACTCAACTCCCACCCCACACAATTCCATACACAAACCCACCCCCACAATCCCACATAACTCACCCCCATACATAATCCCAACCATTCACAATCCCACACAAAATCCCACCCCCACACAACTCAACTCCCACACAAAATCCCACCCCACACAAACTCCTACCCCCACACAATCCTACAACAACTCCAACAATCCCACACAAAATCCCACCCCCACACAATCCTACAACTCAACTCCAACAATCCCACACAAAATCCCACCCCCACACAATCTTACAACTCACCTCCCACAATCCCACACACAACGCCACCCCAACTCCCCCATAACCAACCAACTAACCCTAACCCTCCCTGTCCCCAGATACGAGTTCATGTGCAGCTGCTGGTCCTTCCTCCCAGAGAACCGTCCAACGTTTGATGCCCTGTGTCGCAGGTTCGAGACTCTGCAGGAAAAGGAAAAAGATTACATCAATCTGGAACTATTCCAGAGCGAACAGTACGCTTGTCTGGATGCGGACATAATGGATGAGAAGTTATAGGACATAAAGCTGGTTGGATTAGAAGATATAGGACATAAAGCTGGTTGATTGAGAAGTTATAGGACATAAAGCTGGTTGATTGAGAAGTTATAGGATATAAAGCTGGTTGATTGAAAAGTTATAGGACATAAAGCTGGTTGATTGAGAAGTTATAGGACATAAAGCTGGTTGTATGAGAAGATATAGGACATAAATGAGAAGATATAGGGCATAAAGCTGGTTGGATTAGAAGATATAAGACATAAAGCTGGTTGATTGAGAAGTTATAGGACATAAAGCTGGTTGATTGAGAAGTTATAGGATATAAAGCTGGTTGATTGAAAAGTTATAGGACATAAAGCTGAATGATTGAGAAGTTATAGGACATAAAGCTGGTTGATTGAGAAGATATAGGACATAAAGCTGGCTGATTGAGAAGATATAGGACATAAAGCTGGTTGGATGAGAAGATATAGGATATAATGCTGGCTGAGTGCAGACATAATAGATAAGTTATAGTAGAATGACTGGGTTATATTAACTGACAGTAGTGACAGTTAAGAGATCCCGGATGTTACATAACTTACTTGGATTTTGCAGAAAACTTTTTTTTTAAAACCAGAGAAAGTCGATTTAAAAACAAATCAAATCATTCTTCGCAGTGATCTCGTGCAAAATGTTTTTGTTAACACAAGTATTAGACATGCTGACAAGTATAGGGCTGGTAAGTAGGTCACCAACCAGTTCTACAGCTCAATAAAACCTGCATGAGCCATATAACTATTTATTGACCTATAGTAGCGATCGTCCAGACGTGTACATGTTTCATAACATACCTACAAGACATTTGAAACCTACCCCATACTCCACAGGACGTTACAGAACAAATGTTCATAACCCCCCCCCCCCCCCCCTTGCCTCATCACGAACAAAATGTAAAGTCAGTGCTTTGCAATTTATGTGACCATATAAATGAATTACAAGAATCACATTATTTTTTAGAAAATCGTCGTTTTTCATCCTAATTATCCAATGATTGTAGATTCATGGGCCTATAGCAGAATTTTTTTTTTACAAATAAAAACGACTAAACTTACTGACAGTGTTATACAACAGCAGAATTTTAACCATATTCAATATGACACAATATAACATGATGATAAATATAACCCCCTCCCACTTTCTCCTTTCATCAAATGTGCACGATCTGTTACGCAGAATAAAATATTATTTTATTAAAATAAGACTGTTTTGTAATAATATTCATTATACAACTGTCTGTTGATTTAAGCAAAAGAAACAATAACGTACATTAATAATTGTAATGCATTCAATGATAAAAATAGATAATAAAATGCAATCATTTGTAGTTTAGATATTAACGTCAATAAAACATTAAAATTTAATAACTATGAATATAAACACACCTAACTGTATATACAAACATTGTATTCAATAAAAACATTGCAACCATCCATTGTTTGCAGTTGTGTTGTCATGTTATAGTGATGCCTTGTATTCTATAGAACTGTTTTCATCGTTACTATGGACTTATAGTAACTACTTTTACAAATGCTGCCGAGTGTATGGCTTGTAAGACACGTTCTCTCTCACTGTTATTCGATATCTCGCTAGCCAGGGAGAGGTGTGAATTTTCGAACTGAATTTTCTCTTGTGAACATGGTTACCATTATTAACAAAAAAAAAAATGCGGTTATTTGTTTCTAGGTCTCGACTCAAAATTTTAAAATACCAAGAGTGCATAAAAGAGAAAAGAATTGCGCAGCAAGTGAACGGAAAAAAATATTTAAATAATAGTGCGGAAAACTAGTACTTCATTAATTCATATGCGTTTTTTTACAAATCGGAAATAGCGTAAAGTTCTACTTCCGGTCAACGTAAATTGCTCAAAATTTGAAAGAAAGCAGCGAATTAGATCTTTTACGTTTAAGTGAAATTTCGTTTCTCTATGTGAAACAGTACTCAAGTTATGTTTGCAATTTTGTTTGTGGTTAGGGTTAATTAAAAAGGTAATATATATATTAAATCCGGGCTATGCCGGGTATATGCTCAACACAACACACAAGTCATGGGGGGGGGGGGGGGGCGGTAGATGCACGGAAAAAATTCTGGTGCCTGGCCGGCTAGTTTATAATTATTTATATATATATATATATATATATATATATATATATATATATATATATATATATATATATATATATATATATATATATATATATATATATATATGTTAGGGGGATTTAGTTGTTCGAGAAAGAGGGATCATCTGCGATCCCACTTCTGACATCAAATGTAAGGGGAGGGTTGTTTTTGTTAACTGATTAAGAGAGAGACATGGTAAGATGTTATTGACCATTATTCTCTCAAATCCGTGCACCTTTGCGTGGTGACAAAGGAGTCTAATAGACCTGAGCAAAACTAATTAACATCTAAACAAATACAACATTAATTTTACACTAAAAATAAAACTTGGTTAATGCATTTATTTAACTTCATCCTACTTCACAAATAATGTATTTTACAAGCAAAAAACAAAAGGATACAAATAAGACCTGGTCAGTTTTCATAATCAAGGAAACATCCCTCAAATTCTTAATACATGTAAAAAAAATAATTAAAAAATCGCTTACATTTTTAGATACAACCACAATTTTATCCTTTCATGAATGTATACGAGTTCCTTACACGACCCAGTTCGTCACACACAAAAGGCAGGGTGATTCCCCAGCCACAAGGACAACATATCCGTCCTCCAAAACAAACATCTGGCCCCAGAGCGAGACATTTGGCCACTGGATCGAGACATCAGGCAACGAGCATAATATCGGGCAACAAGAACGAGACATCAGGCCACGAGCATAATATCGGGCCACAAGAACGAGACATCAGGCCACGAGCATAATATCGGGCCACAAGAACGAGACATCAGGCCACGAGCATAATATCGGGCCACAAGAACGAGACATCAGGCCACGAGCGTAATATCGGGCCACAAGAACGAGACATCAGGCAACGAGCATAATATCGGGCCACAAGAACGAGACATCAGGCCACGAGCATAATATCGGGCCACAAGAACGAGACATCAGGCCACGAGCATAATATCGGGCCACAAGAACGAGACATCAGGCCACGAGCATAATATCGGGCCACAAGAACGAGACATCAGGCCACGAGCATAATATCGGGCCACTGGAACAAGGTGTTGGGCCGCTGGTGTAAACACCAGGCCATATCAACAATACCTCAGCTGGGCCACTAAACCAGCCTCTGCGGCCATCATAAGGCCTAGACTGGTCTATAGCCCTAGCTTGGTGTGTAAGAGACAGAGGCCTGAACACAGTCCTCTTAAATAGGCTGAATCCAAACAAACTTTTTCCCATACTTTCCGACCACCTGTTTGACAAGAACTGACCGTCGCGACCTTACGGTCGTAAATTTAAGCAGACGACCATTGGGGAGACAGGACATAAAATTGAACACAAAGCATGCACACACCTAGGGTCCGGTCACAATCCACGACTGTGAACCTCGTAAATTATCCGTGACACCGTCACACCCTGCCAGAACCCAGCGCCGTGAGAACCGTGCGGCGTCTTGAGAGAAGGGGAGAACATTACCCCGATCCAGCTACGACCAACCACGAATATAACTACACACAAAAAACAAGCAACCTGTGACAACTATTCAATAACCAGCCAACATTAGGATACCAGCCAACATTAGGATACCAGCCAACGTATATACACACATATACATATATATATATACATATACACATATATATATACATATATATATATATATACATATATCGTACATTTACACTTCTGTGCTCGCTTTTAAGCAACAGATCTTTTCTGTTGTAAATTAAACATTATCAAAACTTTAGAATTGGTGAAATTTAGCTGTTAAGGGCTCGCTTTGTTTGTGAATTAATGTTGGTTCATGAAAAACAATTTCATTCGGGCATTTAAAAGAGTATATAGTGGTATTGGAGGTAGGACAAAATCGTTACTTTTCTGCCAATAGTGGTCATGCCATTCATTGGTCTGGAGCCAATATGTCGGGAGTCATTTTGTCAAAAGCCAATATGTCGCGAGCCCAATTGCCGGGAGTCTATTTGTCGGTAGCCAATATGTCGTGAGCCGCTTTATTTTAGAAACATATTTATGACAAACATCACATTAATCTGGCTTATCTCCAGTATGAACTTTTCTATGTTTCCTTAAACTAGAACTATATGAAAACTTTTTATGACAAACATCACATTCAAATGGTTTATCTTCTGAATGAACTCTTTTGTGTCTATATAAACTAGAACTCTGAGAAAACGTTTTTTGACAAACATCACATTCAAATTGTTTATCTTCTGAATGAACTTGTTTGTGTGCATATAAATTAGAACTATGTGAAAACTTTTTATGACAAACATCACATTCAAATGGTTTATCTCCTGAATGAACTCTTTTGTGTGCATATAAACTAAAACTCTTAGAAAACTTTTTATGACAAACATCACATTCATGAGGCTTTTCTCCCGAATGAACTTTTTTGTGTTCCGCTAAATCAAAATTCCTGAAAAACCTTTTGTGACAAACAAAACATTCATGAGGCTTATCTCCAGAATGAACTCTTTTGTGTCTATATAAACTAGAACTCTGAGAAAACTTTTTATGACAAACATTACATTCATGAGGCTTTTCTCCTGAATGAACTTTTTTGTGTTCCGCTAAATCAGAATTCCTTAAAAGCCTTTTGTAACAAACATCACATTCAAATTGTTTATCTTCTGAATGAACTCTTTTGTGTGTATATAAATTAGAACTATATGAAAACTTTTTATGACAAACATCACATTCATGAGGCTTTTCTCCTGAATGAACTTTTTTGTGCTCCGCTAAACCATAATTCCTTAAAAACCTTTTGTTACAAACATCACATTCATACTGTCTAACTAGTAAATGTATTTTTTTGTGGCTGCTTAGAGCAGAACTATTAGAGAACTTTTTATGACAATCATCACATTCATATGGCTTATCTCCAGAATGAATTTTTTTATGTTTACTTAACCTAGAACTATCTGAAAACCTTTTATGGCAAGCATCACATTCAAGTGGCCTCTCCCCTACTTGAGCTTTTTTATTCAAGTTAGATCTTTGAAAAAACTGTTCATGATGATCATGAGGATCAACAGACAGATATGTTTCATCACATTCATATGGCTTATCTCCAGAATGAATTTTTTTATGTTTACTTAACCTAGAACTATCTGAAAACCTTTTATGGCAAGCATCACATTCAAGTGGCCTCTCCCCTACTTGAGCTTTTTTATTCAAGTTAGATCTTTGAAAAAACTGTTCATGATGATCATGAGGATCAACAGACAGATATGTTTCATCTTCAGAGAGTTTTAGCTTTTCTTCAAGTCCATTTTGTTGTTTGTCCTCAGAATCTAAAAATTTTGTCCATAAATCTGGTTTTATATCTTTGTTGGTTGATAAAGTTTCTAATTCTGGTATTATATCTTCGCTAGTTGATAAAGTTTCTAATTCTCGTTTTAGATCTTCACTAGTTGATATTGATATATTTTCTAATTCTGGATTTGTATCTTCAGCAGTTGATAAAGTTTCTAATTCTGGTTTTATATCTTCACTAGTTGATAAAATTGCTAATTCTGGTTTTAAATCTTCAGATTTTGTACATACTGCTGATACAGCAGGTTCCATATCTTTAAAAATTAAAAATCCTGTTGTTTTATCTTGAGAAGTTAGAAATGTCATATGGTGTTTTACATCATCAAAAGAGGAAAATGTTGTACATTCTGACTTTGTGTCTGTAGAAGATGAAAAATCTGGCGTAACAACGGTTTTATCATCCTGTGAATTTATAAATGTCATGTTTGGTTTGATATCACGGAAAGTTAAAAATGATAATTCTGTTTTTATGTCAGAAGAAGATGAAAATACTGTAGATAGAAGTGGCTTCACATCTTCAGAATTTGAAAATTCTTTAAACTCATCAGACTGTAAATCTAAATCACCAGTTGCCTCTCCCATGCTGCTTCTTATAAATGAACTGAGGATTAGATATTTAAATGTTAAAGTGGTAATTATATAGATCTATATATATATATATATATATATATATGTATATGTATATGTATATGTATATATATATATATATATCCAATATATAATACAACATAATTAGTTTAAAATGTTAGAACAATCTCTAGACCTACCCCATGCATGTAAACCACAATACAAACAACTCTGTTTATAGTGGCAGTGGTCACTTTTTCTACTTGTATATGTATATATATATATATATATATATATATATATATATATATATATATATATATATATATATATATATATATATATATCCAATATATAATACAACATAATTAGTTTAAAATGTTAGAACAATCTCTAGACCTACCCCATGCATGTAAACCACAATACAAACAACTCTGTTTATAGTGGCAGTGGTCACTTTTTCTACTGCTGGTAATATAGAAATGTGTAGAAATATCTAAGAATTTTTTTTTTAGTAGGCCTGAACTATAACAAGTGATAGGCCTACAACACAAATGTACACTGTCGTATGCCTGCTTTTACAACATACCCAGGTATATGGCTAATTTCCACATCAAAATCTAAAACCTTATTTTGCACCATTTCACCACCAATGTCCCCCACCTTGATATGCGCGATGACGCAAAAAAAATATTGTGGAAATTCATAAGTACACATCGCAGGATTACATAAACGTTAATTTTAATAAGAAATCACTTCAGAAGTGGGGTTGGTATGGTCAAGTCGGTAAAGCTCATGGTTGCTAAACCAATATGTCTCAAGTTTGAACACTCGGGCAGATGAGGCTCGTTAGCAGAGGGCAGCCACTCTTCTAGGAGAAACAACTCCAAAATCAAACAACTTCTGCCTTGTAGTTTGTTCTTGGGTGGACAAAAGCTATGGAAGCTAATCCAAAAAGAAAAGCAGGAAAAAATCAGAGTCAATGGCTTCATTGGCACATAACCAGGTGACACATATATTTCATTATGAAGAAGAAGATTTCAGAAGTAACTATGCTAATACTGATGTCAAAAATCTAGCGCCCCACCTCCCCCCAAAGCAAATAGCTGATTTTTTTTTTACAAGTGGTGGGAGGAGAAAATAGGATGAGTGCAGTGACAGCAGCAATTTTCACAAACACAGCATTTCAAGGTTTTTTTAAAATTTCAAGGACCTTTACAACTGTTAAAAAACAACTATAGATAGATCGTGTAAAAAAAATATTATAGCAGGCCTACATATTTTGTTTGAACACCCAAAACCAGATACATTTTTTGAAAATTTTGCTTAATAGTCAAGTGACTTTCTTAGAATTTGGTTTTTAAAAATGATTATCACGTGAAAAATGGCAGAGATTTTAAGCGTATTTTTATACTACCTGAAGATGACAAAGCTATTTTTGCCAGAAAAAAATGTAATTAGCTTCCAACAATGAAGGTCAAACATAAACTTGGGTAAAGTTTTAAGTTGCTTAAAAACTTAAAATATCGATCTGTAAAGTTCCAAACTTGCACTGTTAGGTAGGGTATTATTAGATTGATCTGTTTCTGAATTAAAATTGTAAATATTCTATACTCATTTTGAGAAAAAAAAATCACCCACATGTCACGTAAACAATATTTTTTTTGTGAGTGACGTCATTGCTATTGATATGTCAAGAAAACAATATTTTTTTTGTGCGTGACGTCATTGCTATTGTTACGGAAGCTGTATAGCAGTATCCTCTGTCACTGCTTACATACGTTTTCTTTTTACTTGACACTTTTTTTTACCTATTTTGCTAGCGTAATTAGGCTAATTAAGTCTCATTATGGATCTTTCACCTGGCTTTTGGATTATACTATGACTCTAAAAGCCCCTACAACAATCTATTATTTTGTTTTTTAATCTGTGTTAATCCCTGAAATTATTGAGCATTAGCCTTTGTGTGCTTATTTACAAATATTTATGCCTAATTATTTGTTGTTTTCAAATGTGTTATAATTAATTTTTGTTAATTCTTATTGATTTCATAGATTTTAATTAGTCTAATATAATATTATTCTCACTGTTCTTTGTTCATATACTGAAAAATTAAATGATTTTAGTGTTGGGTCTAGGCTTACATTACTAATTAGTACTTAGTAATTACAATTATTAATTAGAACTTGGGCTAACAAAGTACTTGGACTAGATTTAGAACATGCTCATACTGTGCTTTGAGTTTTCTCTCACCGGTTTACAAAAGAACACAGGTGGGCTGCAATGTTTGTAATTTGCCTATATCTTTCGGTCACAGGCGATCATTTTAATGTGATAGGCCTCTTAATTTTATAGGTCTGATGAACTGTATTTGATAGGTTAACTTTTCTGGTTGACAAAACTACTCGAGTGAGCATCTGTCTGTCACTACGCAAGCGAGATGCCTGTCATGCGCACTGCCAGTGATGCTGTTTAGAATGCATTTCTTATTAACTTGATCAATTTTAATGCGATTACTGTTTTAAAAAGATAGATACAAATCTTAACAATATTTTAAACTCAGCATGGACAAAGCTTTGTGAATAACACACAGGTTTCAAGTCCAGTAAGGGAGGAGGATTAGATTTATTTTACAATGACATAGCTATCATTTATAAATTGCCCTGATTAAACATTGCTAAAACACACTAATTAAGCCTAATCAAAACTGAAATAAACATGCATATGAATATCTTTTAAAAGTTTAGATCTAGATATATATTATATATTCTTAAACCTTTTAAACGTGATTATTTTTTGATTATTCATTAGCCTATATTAAAAAAATAGTAAATATGTTACATGACATAACCAAGTTACGAGCATCCTTTCAATTATGTTTTATTGACACATACCGACACTCCACCCTCCCCTCACTTGATCCTTACTAACATCCAAGGTCCCTTTCCTGTCAATTTTGTGGACCAGATCTAAGAATGATTGTCACTGAAAAAGCTGTTCCAGCTAAGCTAAAAAGCACCAATAATTAAAATCCTGTATTTTAGCCGCTAATTTACAAATTAGCTAAAACCATCAAAATCAAATGTAGTTAGTAGTTAGAGATAGGCCTATATCTCTAGTTTTCATGGGTATTGTTTATAAATAAAATAATAATAAGGTAGGCCTACAATTTAATGAATAGGCGTAGCCTAATATTTATTAAATATTAATGATGAGTCACCTTTCTTGCACATTAACTATTACACTTTTATTACACTAGCCTCTGCTGATTTTAGATACGGTGACATACCTAAACCTAAAACTAGGCTAAAACGATAGATTAGCAGTAATCTATCGTTTTGGGTACCTAAAATCGCCAGTGACTTGTAATGTGAAAATCAGGTGACACCTTAAATTAAAAATTTTAATATAATAATTATTTCACATGTTGATGTGGATTTATTTATGTTTTAAAAAATTCAAAAATGTTTCCTTGTTTCATTTATGTACCTGTTTTTAAACAATAATAATTGAATTAAAACTTTTCAGTAACAAATCAAGCGATGTTTCCAACAGATGCAACCATGCTCATTTACTGACATTTACTATAGCAGCCATCTTGTTTAAGTTTTATTTTTATAAACTTACAGTACAGCGCTAGATTCAGGGAGACCACTCTATTTTACAAATGGCTGCTGTTTATATAGCAAATCTTGCTCGCAGACACTGCTGTTTAAAGTTAATTTCTGTCCTAGAATCTATATATTAATTATTAATATAATAATATTAGCGATAGGCCTACTCACTAATTTTAAATTTATTTATTTTATTAATTGGCCACTCCCAGCATTGCAAGCCAAAGAATCCATGACAACCATATGCCTATCTGAAGAGAAGAACTCTGCAGGGTTGACCTTGCAGCTGATTTGATTTTAGCAGAATATGCACAGTACATTTGATTTTATTAAAATAGCAATATTAACCCTTTATCTACTGACGGTACTTATAAGTACCACTTTAATTAAGCGCCTGTATTATTTTTAATTTAAGACGAATTTTAAAAATTATTGATGTAATTGATAGTATTATCTCCCTTGAGTCACAGGTAGGTGGAGGGAACGATGTTTTTTAAAAATTACTGGTGTGGCGCCATTTTCAATCTCTACCTGTATCGGTAGTTCACAATTGTTCTGTGCATATCTCACATGTGTTCCTGATTTCCCTTTGTTTTACCTTATTCTTCACGTTTTCAACACCGAATATTTTTTATTGGCATCTTCAATAGTCAGGCAAATGCATCTAACTTCTAGTTATACAATTTTTATCAAATTGTCTTTGTAATAGATCGATGTTTACAAGTGGACTTATAAGTACCGTCAGGGCACACGGACATTTTTTTAGGATTTCTTGGAAATTGCTGATTTTCGATGTGGAGTGCCATAAATATTATTTTGATAATTAATTATCGAAATGTACTTAAAAATATATATTTATGCATTTATAAGAAGGTTAGCATAGGGTTTTCTTCAGAAATGTTGTAATTAATTGCAGATTTCTAGTAGTAAAAGAATAACAAGAAAAGAGGTGGCAGTTGCAGGCTCGTTTACTAGGTTTAGTAAACGTTATTTGTATACCAAAGTCTAGTTCTAGAAGTAAGATTTGTAAGTTATATTTGTTGCAAAAAACTGTCTTGCATAAAATAGCTGGCGTGTACGTAATGTATACATGTAGACTAGTAATAGTCCATACATCTGCATGTAGCATAGATAGTTTTGTAATTTTGAATCAGTAAACACAAAACAGTAGGCCACTACGCTATTCAAAACACATTGAGCTCACTTCTATTTATGAACTTTACACTGTAGTGTAGACTTGTCATAACTTTCTAGTAGGCTACAATTATACTAGTATTACTAGTAGTAGTGTACTGAATGACTAGGATTTCGTTTTCAAAATATTTGTTTATGCGGCTCATTGTAATGTCTTTTGGAAGACTCAGGCAAAAGCAGGTTCAGTCCGGCAACTGTTGCCACACCAGGAAGACGACAGACAAGAATGTATCAGGAATGAGGAATGAGGGAGCATGACATGTCGGCACCTTTAGCTGTGTTTGAGGTCTAAGATGTGTTCCGATAGAAAATCCAGTAAAAATCGTACTCAAAACATACTTTTGTGCTGTGTTTATGTGTGGAAATTACAAAAAATGATTGTTATAATGATTGCCATGTTATTATTTAATAAGTTGTACCGTTTTTTCCTGTTTTGTAAATTTTTTAATTTTTGGAAAAAATGTCCTACATTCCTGACGGTACTTATAAGTACCAATACATGTTTGGGCCCTTAAAAATTTATGAAACAAAATTTCCTTCGACATATGCTTTAAATGTGCCAAAAGCAATATGATAACACATTGTTTAAGAAAAAATTTCATTCAGAACATAATTCCGTAAATAAAGGGTTAACAGAGAGTGATATTTCAACGCCAAGAGTCTACTCTTGGCGTTGAAATATCACTCTCTGTTAATATTGCTATTTCAGTTACAACGCCTGCTTCCACCCCCCCTACACATTTGATTTTATTACCACATTTCTATTCGTATGGACAGTGTCTTCGTCAGAATAAAAATCACAAGATGGAATTAGATCTAGATCTATATTTTTTTTTAATAGGCCTATTTGATTTCCTTTTTTTTAATGGAAGGATGTTTAAAAAGGAAAACTAAACCCAAATTAATGAAAAACATATTTAAGAATATAATAGTATAGATCTAATCTTTTTAAAGATATTCAATCACATGCATGTTTTATTTACTAGTAGTAGAGTAGTGTGTTTTAGCAATGCTTAATGGACACAAGCGAGTTGACGAGATTCCTTCCATAGTGTTGTTGACATGGAATAAAAACGTGCTTTTTAGATTTAGACCGTAAAAAAAAAAAAAAAAAAAACTTAAGCCTAAAATTAATTTAGAAATTTTATATTTTTAGAATAAATGCTATAAAAGTTGCAAATCCAGAGAACTTGAAAATAATTTGTTGAGTTTAAGACTACATTTCTATTTATTTTAATCAAGCCTAAGTTATAACCGGATGCTTCACTTTCGTAAGACAAATATTGATTGGCTGTACAGTAACTTAGTGATCGATAACTATTTGTTTATAAAACTTTGCAGATCAAGTTTTTAAATAACAATGCAAATTTAAAACCCCATGACCTAGTTTTCTATTTTCTATAAGCGATGAAAAACGTGGGGCGCCGAAGTAAAAGTTATATTACTATTGATTAGATAATACTATTGACTTTTATTAGGGAGCTTGTAGAGAGTCAACAGTATTAGAAACTGTAAGAAAATCACGGCGCCCCACGTTTTTGATCGCTTATAGTAGAGTGATCGCTTGCATTATTGTGATGTATAGCGTTTATTTTCTCCTTTTTAGTTCAATCAGAAAACGTGGGTTTTTAAAAACTTTTTTAATGATTATTATTTTCTACTTTTTAGTCTTTGTCTGTTTGTTTGCATTAAAATCTTGCTATCGATTTTATCTTTTCACTTTTTTTTGGGTAAACGAAGACAACTCGTAAAAAGACAACTCGAAAAAAAATCGTTGTGTGAATACGTTACTGACTAGAACACATAGATTTGAACCCGTGTCGAGTGGGATAGCAATCGTGTGCCCAACCACTCGACCATATCGTCTCCCCCATACTGGCCTACCTCCTGTAAGTTTAAACTCGGTTCAAACTAAATTATCTGCCCCTAAGGCTGTGGCGACGTGGGATCGTTCACTTCACTGCGCGCGAGGTACGCGTCGCTCGTTTTTTTTCTAATGGCTCGCAGAGGAGAATTATATATATAGATTATATAGCGGTCTAAAATGCTCAATAAAATGTTTCCATTGATCAATTTAGTAATAGGAACAATTGAATATTCTATGGTCATCCAAAAGAAAGCTTCCCTGAAAATTTCAGCGCGCTAGCTAACTGGGAAGTGCCAGAAATTTCGATCGCAAGATTTGATTGGAAAGACAAACAAATAAACAGAGAAAGCAAGTTAAAGAAAACGTGGGAAAAAATAACTTGATCGAGACAACAGCTAAGCCCGCCCATTTTGCCCGCAGTGTATTTGAATGGGGAGAAAACTATCAGATGACACATTTCTACTTTGAACAGGAGTTAACGGTCAATCGCGTCACAACATCACTCCTTAAAAAACGAACCCACCGTATCACTGAAAATCAGTCATATCATCGTCGCCATTTAAAAATCATTTTACAAATCATTTTCTAGGCTTGACAACGAAAATTAGCCCACTTCTGATTGCTCTAGACATCTGAAATTCGGCATGCAGGCTATTTTCGCCTAACAATTTCAGATGCAATCATAAAAACTAGCAATTAGAGACCTAAATTAGCTTAATTAAATTACGCCCGAAGGACCCTAAAATTGAGGACATTGTGATGGGGGGGGTTTCATATATATTATATAATTATATCTTCTCTATATCTTTTCTATATTCTGATCTGCTACTATTCATACGACAACTATTATACTTGTGAGTAGGACGGGAATCACTCTTATGTTCCGCAGACACTAATTAACAAAAGTGAACCACTTCGTTTATGAAAAGAACACTAACTTTATTAACACACACTTATTTGCACAATATCAAAGAATACATCCGTCTCCTACAATTACTAACCCCCAACTAACGTTACTGCCGCGGTCTACGTCCTTGGGTTCCCAGAAAGAACCGCAACGGAAAAAAGCGCAACGGAAAAAAGCGCAAATCAAAAAGCGCAACGGAAATAAGCGCACACGCAAAAAAAGCGCAAAGAGAAAAAAGCGCACACAGAAAAAAGCGCAAAGAGAAAAAAGCGCAAACGGAAAAAAGCGCAAAGAGAAAAAAGCGCACACGGAAAAAAAGCGCAAAGAGAAAAAAGCGCAAACAGAAAAAAGCGCAAAGAGAAAAAAGCGCACACAGAAAAAAGCGCAAACAGAAAAAAGCGCAAACGGAAAAAAGCGCAAAGAGAAAAAAGCGCAAACGGAAAAAAGCGCAAACAGAAAAAAGCGCACACGAAAGAAAGCGCAAACGGAAAAAAGCGCAAACGGGAAAAAGCGCAAACAGAAAAAAGCGCACACGGAAAAAAGCGCAAACGGAAAAAAGCGCAAACGGAAAAAAGCGCAAACAGAAAAAAGCGCAAACGGAAAAAAGCGCAAACAGAAAAAAGCGCACACAGAAAAAAGCGCAAACAGAAAAAAGCGCAAACGGAAAAAAGCGCAAACAGAAAAAAGCGCACACAGAAAAAAGCGCAAACGGAAAAAAGCGCAAACAGAAACAGAAAAATGCGCAACCAGAAAAAACAACGAAAAATTTGCAAAAGAGAAATTTAGCACAAAGACCATATGGACTAGATGACACATTTATACATGACTGTTAGGGCTGCTGTGAGAGTGTCGTGTTTGATCACGTGATCTACTACCATTTAAAGCGTACCACTACCATCTGCATTCCCATCACCACGATACAGGCGATAATCACTTTACACAATGCCTATTATTTTCTTGGTCAATAATTATTCAACTACTATTCTCGTATAAACATAAAACTATCGACATTACACGAAGTATCTTTCACATTCTCCCTAGTCCGAACTACCTAGCTTGCATACTATAACAACCCGTTCCTATGGCAAAACTTCACTCTCTTTCATCCGCGTCATCAAACATGCATTCGTCATATCTCTCGTAACAACATTCATTCGCACCAAAATAACAATTTTGTATTTAATATTTTTTCACATCATGACGCACCTACCTACCTACCTACTACCCACCTACCCACCTACCTACCTAACTACCCACCTACCCACTTACCCACCTACCCGCCTACATACTTACCAAACTACCCACCAAAAAAGTATCGGCGAAGTTCGTAAGTTTCGTAAACTTTTCGTATATATATATATATATATATATATATATATATATATATATATATATATATATATATATATATATATATATATATATATATATATATATATATATACCGAGGGGTCTATGGGGGGGGGGGGGGGTTATGACCCCCCATAAACCCCCCCTGCCTACGCCACTGCATATAAGTATTCGCATAGATTTAGAGTAGCGTCCCTTTTGTTTACATGTTTTCATTACCCTTCAAACAAAAGTCTATTTTAGTTATATTGAGATTAAAGAATGTAAATAAATAGTATACACAATTCTGTAGAATAGGAACGATTGGGAGGGAAGTGACATTTAGCGCAGTAAATTTAGAGGTTAGGTAGGGTATAATAAATGGTGGGGTTAGGAAAGTTAAGGGGTCCATTCTCTAATAGGCAATCTAGACTCTATGTCTCTTTCGTACTTTCGTGTTGGTCATTGTCGAACCTGTCCTCACCTCACATCACAACAGTTGGGTGACGCTTACCGTGTAATGTTAAAATAAATAGCATGTAATTGAGTTAGTTCGAAGTGAGTTTTCATACAAGCCCAACGCACTAATTAAGGTTGTCGCAAAATGTAACATATATGTAACGTATGTCAATGATGTCAATGAATTTTCATTAAAAAAAAAGATGTCTAGTACAGTTTACGAAACTTACGAACTTCGCCGATACTTTTTTGGTGGGTAGTTTGGTAAGTATGTAGGCGGGTAGGTGGGTAAGTGGGTAGGTGGGTAGTTAGGTAGGTAGGTGGGTAGGTGGGTAGTAGGTAGGTAGGTAGGTGCGTCATGATGTGAAAAAATATTAAATACAAAATTGTTATTTTGGTGCGAATGAATGTTGTTACGAGAGATATGACGAATGCATGTTTGATGACGCGGATGAAAGAGAGTGAAGTTTTGCCATAGGAACGGGTTGTTATAGTATGCAAGCTAGGTAGTTCGGACTAGGGAGAATGTGAAAGATACTTCGTGTAATGTCGATAGTTTTATGTTTATACGAGAATAGTAGTTGAATAATTATTGACCAAGAAAATAATAGGCATTGTGTAAAGTGATTATCGCCTGTATCGTGGTGATGGGAATGCAGATGGTAGTGGTACGCTTTAAATGGTAGTAGATCACGTGATCAAACACGACACTCTCACAGCAGCCCTAACAGTCATGTATAAATGTGTCATCTAGTCCATATGGTCTTTGTACTAAATTTCTCTTTTGCAAATTTTTCGTTGTTTTTTCTGGTTGCGCATTTTTCTGTTTCTGTTTGCGCTTTTTTCCGTTTGCGCTTTTTTCTGTGTGCGCTTTTTTCTGTGTGCGCTTTTTTCTGTTTGCGCTTTTTTCCGTTTGCGCTTTTTTCTGTTTGCGCTTTTTTCTGTGTGCGCTTTTTTCTGTTTGCGCTTTTTTCCGTGTGCGTTTTTTTCTGTTTGCGCTTTTTTCCGTTTGCGCTTTTTTCCGTTTGCGCTTTTTTCCGTTTGCGCTTTTTTCTGTTTGCGCTTTTTTCCGTGTGCGCTTTTTTCTCTTTGCGCTTTTTTCCGTTTGCGCTTTTTTCTGTTTGCGCTTTTTTCTGTGTGCGCTTTTTTCTCTTTGCGCTTTTTTCTGTTTGCGCTTTTTTCTCTTTGCGCTTTTTTCCGTGTGCGCTTTTTTCTCTTTGCGCTTTTTTCCGTTTGCGCTTTTTTCCGTTTGCGCTTTTTTCTGTGTGCGCTTTTTTCTCTTTGCGCTTTTTTCCGTTTGCGCTTTTTTCTCTTTGCGCTTTTTTCTGTGTGCGCTTTTTTCTCTTTGCGCTTTTTTCCGTGTGCGCTTATTTCCGTTGCGCTTTTTGATTTTCGCTTTTTTCCGTTGCCCTTTTTTCCGTTGCGGTTCTTTCCGGCCACCACGTCCTTGGTACATTGTCGCGTCATGCTCACGTCACATTCGCGCCACAAATATTGTATTCAACATGCGCACAATACTCTCGCACCAAATCGTCTACAGTGAAGTTCGCACCGTCCTTTGTAACCTCTACTAGTCGTCTAATTCTTTATATCTACGCTATGACAGATATGATTTATCAAAAACGCATGTAAATTTATAAAGTACTAATAATATCCCGCACTTTTATACACATTTTATTAGGCGTTCAATTGGTGTGGGACGGAGTGGTCTAGCGGTAGAGAGTTGGACTGCTAACCCGTTAGTCTCGGTTTATAAAATGGGAAATAACTCTAGTTGACTTTTTTCTTTGACCAGCTTGTCCACAGAGATCTGGCAGCTCGCAATGTGTTTGTCACAGACAGGGGCGTGTGCAAGATCACAGACTTCGGGCTGGCTCGATGTCTGGGGGACACTGACCACTACGACAGGTCGTCCAAGGTTCGTGAGTTGGTTAAATTATGGTTAAATCGTCAAAGGTTCGCGAATTGCATTGGTTAAATTATGGTTAAATCGTCGAAGGTTCGTGAACTGAGTTGGTTAAATTATGGTCAAATCGTCGAAGGTTCTTGAATTGCATTGGTTAAACTATGGATAAATCGTCAAAGGTTCGTAAACTGCATTGGCTTAATTATGGTTAAATCGTCAAAGGTTTGTGAACTGCTTTAGTTAAATTATGGTTGCATCATCAAAGATTCGTAAAATGCATTGGTTAAATTATGGTTAAATAGTCAAAGGTTTGTGAATTGCGTTGGTTAAATTGTGGATAAATCGTCGAAGGTTCGTGAACTAGTTGGCTAAATTATGGTCAAGTCGTCGAAGGTTCTTGAATTGCATTGGTTAAATTATGGTTAAATCGTCAAAGGTTCGTAAACTGCATTGGCTTAATTAATGGTTAAATAGTCAAAGGTTCGTGAATTGCGTTGGTTAAATTGTGGTTAAATCGTCGAAGGTTCGTGAACTGCAATGGTTTAAGGTAAATTATGTTTTCAGTTATTCGTCGAAGGTTCGTTAACTTCATTAGTTTGATTATGGTTTAATCGTCGGTTTTTTAACTTGTTTTACTTAAAGTCCGGGAAGAAACTCCAACATTGGTCCAATTCAGTTGCCACATAATTTGGCCAGAAAATAATTGTTTTATCCGTAAAAAAAAAAAACATAAGCATATGTCAATTTGTTGGCTTTAGCATTTGGTTAAAATATTTAAACTAAATATTATGTTTCAATGCATCCTATTGTGAGTTGGTGTGGGACGACGTTGTCGAATGGTAGAGCGTTGGAGGTCAGCCCCAAAGTCTCGAGTTCGGTCTTGGTTTTGATTAATCCACCAAGCTCTGATGGGTACCTGACAATACATTGGGGAGAGTAAAGACGATTGGGCATAGTGCTGCTTAGTGCTGACCACGCCATCACTTCATATGCCGAGGTCAAGAAACATATGAACCCTAGTTCATCTGCACAATGAATCGCTACGTCTAAAGAAAGTATTTTTTACTTACTATATTGCTAGTTGATGGCAAATCCCAATGTTGGTTAACCTTGCTATGGCTTACATTATTATGACATTGATTCCGTTGTAGAATCTTCAAAATGTGTTTTATTCGTTTCAAGCATTAAGTTTCGTACTTCATTTTAGATTCGAACCCGTTACCGTTAAAGCGGCGTAGGTGAAGTAGATTATAACAGAAGTGTTAGGTGAATGATAAATCTAGTTTAAAACAAGTGTTTCTCTAAACTTGACAGGGTCCACTGCCGGTTAGATGGTTGGCACCAGAAAGTTTGATCGACAGAACACACAGCACCAAATCTGATGTCTGGGCCTACGGCATTCTTCTTAGGGAGATTGTTACGCTAGGTGAGTTCATAGGTTTACATTAGGGGGGGGGGGTGTTCTGTACGGAATTGGAGGGGGGGCTATCTTTGGGTGAGTCTATTGTTTTCCTTTAGTTGGGGAGGAGATGGGGGGTGTAGATTGTAACTCTGGGCAAATTCATAAAGCAGGCGCATGTAACCTTCACCTTGAATGTCTTGCAAACAACAGTCTGATTGCAAACGATACACTTTTGTGTTGATAGATGGGGTGAGAGCAAACTTTCTAGACATCAAACAAATACAACGAAATAGCATTAGCTTCCCATGACACTGTGTCATGCAGAAGGGCTTCACAAAATGTGTACATTAATACTATTATATTTAATACACGGAATACCGTGATGGATCTGAATAGATCAGCCTTCAAGATAAAACAAACAGTACCTGTGATGTAAAAGATACTGGGTGAACCTGGCAATAGGGCTGGTAAGTAGGTCACCAACCAGTTCTATGGCTCATGCAGGTCTTATTGAGCCGTAGAACTGGTTGGTGACCTACTTACCAGCCCTATTTTCTTCCAAATGTCCAGCCTAGATTTCATTTTCTCGCACCACACCCACCCCACCCCAAGTTGACAAAATATCGATCTAAAGAGTTTGATCATTGATTTCAGGTGCCAGTCCTTACCCCGGGTTGTCTGCCCATAACGTCTTCAAGTTTGTTAGCGCTGGCAACCCTAACCCACCTACTCACAACCCCACTAACTCAACTCCAACAATCCTACACAAAATCCCACCCACCACGCAATCCCGCACAACTCAACTCAATTCCCACCCCACACAATTCCATACACAAACCCACCCCCACAATCCCACACAACTCACCCCCTACATAATCCCACACAAAATCCCACCCCCACACAATCCCACACAACTCAACTCCCACACAAAATCCCACCCCACACAATTCCATACACAAACCCACCCCCATACATAATCCCACACAAACTCCCACCCCCATACAATCCTACAACTCAACTCCAACAATCCCACACAAACTCCCACCCCCACACAATCCTACAACTCACCTCCCACAATCCCACACACAACGCCACCCCAACTCCCCCATAACCAACCAACTAACCCTAACCCTCCCCGTCCCCAGATACGAGCTCATGTGCAGCTGCTGGTCCTTCCTCCCAGAGAACCGTCCAACGTTTGATGCCCTGTGTCGCAGGTTCGAGACTCTGCTGGAAAAGGAAAAAGATTACATCAATCTGGAACTATTCCAGAGCGAACAGTACGCTTGTCTGGATGCGGACATAATGGATGAGAAGTTATAGGACATAAAGCTGGTTCTATGAGAAGATATGACATAAATGAGAAGATATAGGGCATAAAACTGGTTGGATTTGAAGATATAGGACATAAAGCTGGTTGGATTAGAAGATATAGGACATAAATGAGGAGATATAGGGCATAAAACTGGTTGGATTAGCCCCTTAATGCCTGAATTATGTTCCAAGCGTGTAAAAAATTATTTGTACTGATTTTCTCTCATCATACTGACACTGAATTTGAGGTATATATTTGTTTTTGAATTTTGACTTTTTTTTATGATAATTACGGTATGTCGCGAAAACGCGACATCAGGCACTTATGGACCAAACAGTAATTTAACTTTTTTTTAGTCCGGGTCATTTTACTATTTTTACTGTCACATGTTTCTCTAAATATCCATGCACAAACAATAAAATATCACAAAGTAAACATACGGACATGCAAGGAGATGTAGAATCACTTTCAAAACTCATGAAAACTATATTTTATTAGCTCAGGCATAGAGTTACATAACTCTGCTGCACCTGCTCACTGACTAACTCTTATGAATAGGTATTTTGATGTCTTGCTGTCGTAATTCTACTACACTACAGTAACACACTACATATGAAAGGACTTCCTTCAATGTGTAGAGCCTTAGTTGTCCCCGGTTACGTAATTTTCGTGAACTCTTATTCAATGTCAACTAATAAAGACGCATATTTCTCATTTGACCTATATTTGCTATACACACAAATCACATGAACAAATAATGTCCTAAATGACAGTGTTCAGCCATTGTATATTCGTCCATGCTCAATGCAGCTGCTGTGGGTACTTAGTGTCACTGCTGTGGGTACTCAGTGCCACCGGTGTGGGTACTCACTGCTATTGTTGATGGTACCCTATGTTTCCAATTCGTGCTACGGCTATTGTTCTCAACTGATTCTGATATTGATTACCAAACACAGTGCTGTAGCTACATATTGCCACTGCTATGGGTACTCAGTGCTGAAACAGTGGGTACTGAGTGTTGAAGCCATGTGTACTTAGTGCTGAAGCTGTGGGTACTCACTCTTGAAGCTGTGGGTACTCAGTGTTACTGCAGTCGGTTCTTGGTGTCACTGCTGTGAGTACTCAGCGCTGGAGCTGTTGGTTATCGATAACGTTGATATAGGTACTCATCCTTAGCAGTGGGTACTCAGTAGCACTGCTGTGAGAGCTTTTTGCTCAAACTGTGGTTGCTCAGTGTCACTGATGTTAGTACTCAGTGCTGAAGATGTGGGTACTCAATAACACTGCTGTAGGTACTAAATGCCAGTATAATGCCACTAATGTGGTTATTCAATAGCACTGCAAAGGGTATGTGTGTCAGCACTCAACCTTACTGTATTTATCACGAGGTGTAGTTCTATGCTCAGTGTTATTATTGTCAAGGTCACCGTGAAGACCTTTATTTGGTGGTATCCAGGATAGTGGTCCACCACCTCACTTCCTGTTGTCTATATTGTTTTTTATGTTCTCCTAATATTATACAACACTATTTCAAAGCTAAATTCGTTATATTGTACCCAGCAACATGATCACATTATTCAAGCATCACTCTCTCTCTCTCTCCATATGCTAATATCAATGAAACAGGTGGACTCTACTTCACCTACCACATGGTCCGTAACGTTCTAAAGTGCAGTTTTATATATAGGCGAAGACCATATTGTAAATACTTTACTTATTTATAATCATACTTGAATGAATGACAGCTTGGCGATGCATCGTATTTCGTTATACCTGCTTGGCACCCAAGTTCCATTTTATGTCTAAAACAGCAGATAATTAGCAGATAACTTCCAAAATTATTCTCATATGTGATTTATATTGTTTATATACATAAAAGAATGAATAATAAAGCTATTAGTATTTTTTGTAGCAGAAGCGGATCACCTATTTAGTAATAATAATCAATGTAAGTAGGCTGAATTCACGAAGTCAAAAAAATTACGATGCGCGTGAGTCAAGAGAGTGTGACGTCATAAATTTCGACTTGACAACGTGACCGCTGGTACCAATACAACCGTCTGGATGTACCCAATACACAACGACCGACAGCAGTAGGATAAATGTACATATGCGCAAATGCTATGCGCTAAATCGGTATGTCGCGAAAACGCGACTGTCGGCGTTAAGGGGTTAAAAGATATAGGACATAAAGCTGGTTGATTGAGAAGTTATAGGATTTAAAGCTGGTTGGATGAGAAGTTATAGGATATAAAGCTGGTTGATTGAGAAGTTATAGGACATAAAGCTGGTTGGATGAAAAGATATAGGACATAAAGCTGGTTGATTGAGAAGTTATAGGATATAAAGCTTGTTGATTGAGAAGTTATAGGACATAAAGCTGGTTGGATGAAAAGATATCGGACATAAAGCTGGTTGATTGAGAAGTTATAGGACATAAAGCTGGTTGATTGAGAAGTTATAGAATTTAAAGCTGGTTGGATGAGAAGTTATAGGATATAAAGCTGGTTGATTGAGAAGTTATAGGACATAAAGCTGGTTGGATGAAAAGATATAGGACATAAAGCTGGTTGATTGAGAAGTTATAGGACATAAAGCTGGTTGGATGAAAAGATATAGGACATAAAGCTGGTTGATTGAGAAGTTATAGGACATAAAGCTGGTTGGATGAAAAGATATCGGACATAAAGCTGGTTGATTGAGAAGTTATAGGATATAAAGCTGGTTGATTGAGAAGTTATAGGATATAAAGCTGGTTGGATGAGAAGTTGTAGGACATAAAGCTGGTTGATTGAGAAGTTATAGGATATAAAGCTGGATATAAATCACATCATTCTTCGAAGTGATCTCGTACAAAATGTTTTTGTTGACACAAGTATTAGACATACTGACAAGTATAGGGCTGGTAAGTAGGTCAATAAATAGTTCTATGGCTCATGCAGGTTTTATTGAGCTGTAGAACTGGTTGGTGACCTACTTACCAGCCCTACAGTAGCGATCTTCCAGACGTGTACATGTTTCATAACATACCTACAAGACATTTGAAACCTACCCCATACTCCACAGGACGTTACAGAACAAATATGTTCATAACCCCCCCCCCACCTCATTACGAACAAAATGTAAACTCTGTGCTTTGCAATGTATGTGACCATATAAATGAATTACAAGAATCACATTATTTTTTTAGAAAATCGTCGTTTTTCATCCTAATTGTCCAATGATTGTAGATTCATGGGCCTATAGCAGAATTTTTTATTTTTTTTACAAATAAAAACAACTAAACTTACTGACAAGTGTTATACAACAGCAGTATTTTAACCATATTCCATATGACACAATATAACATGATGATAAATATAACCCCCTCTCACTTTCTCCTTTTATCAAATGTGCACGATCTGTTACGCAGAATAAAATATTTTATTAAAATAAGACTGTTTTGTAATAATATTTATTATACAACTGTCTGTTGATTTAAGCAAAAGAAACAATAACATTGGCGTAGCCAGGATCGTCTCAAGGGGGGGGGGTCCAATTTTTACCCGGGGACAAACTTTCGATTTGCACCCCCCCCTTCAAACTTTCGATTTGCACCCCCCCCCCCTCAAACTTTCGATTTGCATCCCCCCCCTCAAACTTTCGATTTGCACCCCCCTCCTCAAACTTTCGATTTGCACCCCCCTCCTCAAACTTTCGATTTGCACCCCCCCCCTCAAACTTTCGATTTGCACCCCCCCCCCTCATACTTTTTCTATATACCGAGGGGTCTATGGGGGGGGGGGTGTTTGACCCCCCCCCTATCCCCCCCCTGCCTACGCCACTGAACAATAACGTACATTAATAATTGTAATGCATTCAATGATAAAAATAGATAATAATAAATGCAATCATTTGTAGTTTAGATATTAACGTCAATAAAACATTAAAATTTAATAACTATGAATATAAACACACCTAGCTGTATATACAAACATTGTATTCAATAAAAACATTGCAACCATCCATTGTTTGTAGTTGTGTTGTCATGTTATAGTGATGTCTTGTATTCTTTAGATTTTAGAACTGTTTTCATTGTTACTATGGGCTTATAGTAACTACTTTTACAAATGCTGCCGAGTGTATGGCTTGTAAGACATGTTCTCTCTCACTGTTATTCGATATCTCGCTAGCCAGGGAGAGGTGTGAATTTTCGAACTGAATTTTCTCTTGTGAACATGGTTACCATTATTAACAAACAAAAAAATGCGTTTATTTGTTTCTAGGTCTCGCCTCAAGATTTTAAAATACCAAGAGTGCATAAAAGAAAAAACAATTGCTCAGCAAGTGAACGGAAAAAAATATTTAAATAATAGTGCGGAAAACTAGTACTTCATTAATTCATATGCGTTTTTTTAGAAATCGGAAATAGCGTAAAGTTCTAGTTCCGGTCAACGTAAATTACTCAAAATTTGAAAGAAAGCAGAGAATTAGATCTTTTACGTTTAAGTGAAATTTCGTTTCTCTATGTGAAACAGTACTCAAGTTATGTTTGCGTTTTTGTTTGTGGTTAGGGTTAATTAAAAAGGTAATATATATATTAAATCCGGGCTATGCCGGGTATATGCTCAACACAACACACAAGTCATGGGGGGGGGGGGGGGCGGTAGATGCATGGAAAAAATTATGGTGCCTGGCCGGCTAGTTTATAATTATATATATATATATATATATATATATATATATATATATATATATATATATATATATATATATATATATATATATATATATAAATATATATGTTAGGGGATTTAGTTGTTCGAGAAAGAGGGATCATCTGCGATCCCACTTCTGACACCAAAATGTAAGAGGAGGGTTGTTTTTGTTAACCGATTAAAAGAGAGACATGGTATAATGGTATTGACCATTATTCTCTCAAATCCGTGCACCTTTGCGTGGTGACAAAGGAGTCTAATAGACCTGAGCAAAACTAATTAACATCTAAACAAATACAACATTAATTTTACACTAAAAATAAAACTTGGTAAACACCCAGTTAATGCATTATTTAACTTCATCCTACTTCACAAGAAATGTATTTTACAAGCAAATTACAAAAGGATACAAATAAGACCTGGCCAGTTTTCATAATCAAGGAAGCATCCCTCGAATTCTTAATACATGTAAAAAATAAAAATAAAAAAATCGCTTACATTTTTAGATACAACCACAATTTTATCCTTGTATTCTATAGAACTGTTTTCATCGTTACTATGGACTTATACGATAACTTATAGTAACTACTTTTACAAATGCTGCCGAGTGTATGGCTTGTAAGACATGTTCTCTCTCACTGTTATTCGATATCTCGCTAGCCAGGGAGAGGTGTGAATTTTCGAACTGAATTTTCTCTTGTGAACATGGTTACCATTATTAACAAACAAAAAAGAAATGCGGTTATTTGTTTCTAGGTCTCGCATCAAGATTTTAAAATACCAAGAGTGCATAAAAGAAAAAAGAATTGCGCAGCAAGTGAACGGAAAAAATATTTAAATAATAGTGCGTAAAACTAGTACTTCATTAATTCATATGCGTTTTTTTTAGAAATCGGAAATAGCGTAAAGTTCTACTTCCGGTCAACGGAAATTACTCAAAATGT